TAGAGATACAAAAAAACTGAGAAAACTTTTTCATAGCAAATTTTGATGACGTTCAACGTGGTGATACCGATTTTTTCATGCGACGTTTCGTATTCGTGGAACCATCATCAACTTTTGTTTTTTAAATACGGTCCTGATAATTTTTTTACAGATTCTGAAAGGTTTTTTCATTTTGAATTCAACCATGTACACAAAGTGGTTTATGTGTGTTCCGACCTATTTTCAGCCATCATCAATGTTTTTTCGAAATTCCAAAGAAAAATGCCATCAGTTCCACTTATTTTGAAGGAAAATTAGTCATCACACTAATACCTCATCAACTGGTTTCAATCAACAACCCATTTCATTTTGCGGAAACAAAAATTCCGTCCATAAAAATTCAGAATATGTCAAGCGCTAAAACCAGGCGATGACGAAAGGCGCAGAACATTCTGTGAGTGGTATACCAGGAAATGTCAAAATTTTGCAGATTTCTTTCGAACAATCATCTGGACTGATGAAAGCATGGTCACTAATTATGGTAGCTTCGATAGAAAAAATACACATTATTGTTCACGAGAAAATGAACATTTATACATTACAGCGAGACACCAACACCGTTTCGGCTTCAATATGTGGGTTGCAATATTTGGTACACGAATAATTGTTCCTTCTATTTACCATGAAACACAGACTTCCGAACGTTATAGAAATTCGCTTGAGAATCATTTTGAGGAAGCTCTGGATGATTTACCGATTGCGGTACTCAGAACTGTTGGTTTCAACAAGTTGGCGCTCCGGTACATAATTCCAGAAAAGTCCGTGCGTTCTTATCCCTTGGCCGGCGCGGTCGCCTGATTTGACACAGCTGGATTTTTTCTTAGGGGATATATCGAACTTTGTACACGCAAATAACTTTGATGATGAAGAAGAACCAAGGGACAGTGTCTTCGAAGCATTCAATAGAATAACCCCAGAAATGCTTAGCAATGTCTCAGAAGCAACTGTGAGAAGAGCATATCTTTGTTCACAAAATAATGGTTATCATTTTGAACATTTGTTATGAATGTCTCTTTAGGTATTGTCAAAGTTAAGTTGTTAAAGTAATTCGTGTAAGAATTCTTCAACAATTTTAAACGCTGCATCGATCGAATGATGTAGTGAAATATTTTTTATTCACTTTTCAGTATTGAATAACTAATCCATCAAGTTTGACACTAAATGATCAGAAATAAGTGAAACTGATGGCTTTTTTCCTTTGGAAGTTCGAAAAAACATTGATGATGGATAGAAATAGGTCGAAACACATTCGAATCACCTTGTAAAGTACATGGTTGAATTCAGAATAAAAAAAAATTTCAGAATCTGTGAAAAAATTATCAGGACCGTATTTAAAAAAACAAAAGTTGATGATGGTTCCACGAATACGAAACGTCGCATAAAAAAATCGGTATCACCACGTTAAACGTCATCAAAAGTTGCTATGAAAAAGTATTTTTAGTTTTTCTGTATCTCTGATAATAACGGAGAAAAAAAAAAATAGAAATTCCAAAAATTCTCTTTTTTCGATATAACTGAAAAACTATAAATAATTTTCAAAATTTTCGAAGGCTCTTGATATGAGCCTCCGAATGCGCAACTTTTTCCCCATTTAAGCGACTCCGTATCTCCTACCGTTTCCGAGATCCCCATGCTGTTCAACCTTATCTTGGACAGACTGTATATTCCTTATTGATTCGCCTTGAAAAAGTGTGGCAATATTTTTAAAATTTTAATATCACGAATTTCCAATATTTCCATATTTACCATGTTCCTGACAGAGTGTTTCGTCACACACTAGTTTAAATTTTACACATTCATTATTTATTTTCAGTTCTGTAATAAAAGTTAGTGAATTGGACGTCCTGTTTTCGAATTTGAAGTTACTTTCAACATATCTTGTCTCTTGATATAATTTTCCGGACATGTGTGTAGTCCCACGGCTGTTGACGAGCAGTGTATATCACTGAAGATGACCTCACTTTGTCATAGAGTGCATTTCTGGTATATCTCTCGCTCCAGAAAATTTCAGGATCCTAACCCAACGATTAAGTATGATACGGGGGTGTTTCCATGAAAAGTGAGGCAGTTATGAATTTTTCAGAACTGAATATTTTACAGGAAATATCAAATAGAAAGTGAATTGGCTGTCCTGATTCCAAATCCAAAGTGATTTTCAACTTATTTTGACTCCTGATATCATTATACGGAAATTGGGGTGGTTCCATGGCCGTTGTCGAGCAGTGTATATCACTAAAGAGTGTCCCACTTGGTCATAGAGTACATTTTAGGTATACCTCTCGCTCCAGCAAATTTCAGGATCCTAACCCAACGATTACATATAAGATATACGGGGGTGTTTCCATTAGAAGTCAGACACACTGTATATATATTATTTTGAATATTCCATGTAATAACAGTATTATTCATTATTTAAAATCATCACAAATATTTTTTTCAATAATCAAAATCACCTCTCAAAAACGCTAGCTCTCGATGACCTGATAAGCACTTTTAGTTCAAAAACCAATACCAATATTTCCACATTCTACATAGAAATAATAATTTACTTCCACCAGTAGAAGTGTACTGAAATATATACAATATATAAGTCGTATCGTATACAGGGTGTTTCGAAATTCGACCGACAACGCTTGACAGGTGATAGCCCTCGTGATTTCATAATCACTGAGATAGGGACAGACGGTCTTGAAGTGTTCAGTTCTCGAGATATAGGGCGTTGAAGTTGAGAAATTAAAATAGTTTTTTCTCGATATCTCATGAAAAATTGAATTAAATGCATTCAAATTCGGTATATGGTTTCATCTTTGAATGGGCCATTTTTTGACCTGGAAGCCATTCCGGACATTTTGTCCAGTGGTGCCCTACAGGGGGTTGTGGCATTTTTTCCTTCCATATTTTCTACGCCACTGATTGAATTTCGATTATTTCCAATTCCTCGAATTCATTGTTCAATCTTGTTCAGAAAATGCATCACCTTCAACTGAGCTGAAATAAACAGTTTTCGAGATATTCGACCCAAAATAGAAGATTCCATAGTAATATTTCATCATTTTCAGTAGTAGAAAATTGCAAAAATATTTTTCTGGTGTTGAGTAGATTAGATACTATTCAGATCTCATGCTATAGCTGAACAGAAATAGTTATTCCACGCATAAAGAGAGAACAAAAATGTTCGTAATTTTCTACTACTGAAAATGATGAAATATTACTATGCAATCTTCTATTTTGGGTCGAATATCTCGAAAACTGTTTATTTCAGCTCAGTTGAAGGTGATGCATTTTCTGAACAAAATTAAACAATGAATTCGAGGAATTGGAAATAATCGAAATTCAATCAGTGGCGTAGAAAATATGGAAGGAAAAAATGCCACAACCCCCTGTAGGGCACCACTGGACAAAATGTCCGGAATGGCTTCCAGGTCAAAAAATGGCCCATTCAAAGATGAAACCATATACCGAAGTTGAATGCATTATATTCAATTATTCTTGAGATATTGCGAAACAACTATTTTCATTTCTCAACTTCAACGCCCTGTATCTCGAGAACTGAACACTTGAAGACCGAATGTTCCTATCTCAATGATTATGAAATCACGAGGGCTATCACCTGTCAAACGTTGTCGGTCGAATTTCGAAACACCCTGTATAGTTGGAATGGATTGATCGCTGTATATGACGTCACACGCCGTCCCGCGTTTTTAAACAACTTACAGTGTGTCCAGTTTTCGATGCTTTTGCGTGGATATCTCAGTTATCTTTGGAGATAGAACCTTGCGGTTTTTGCGGTCCTGTGCCACTTTTCTGTGAAACTCAAGATGGCCTAATCAGATTTTGCATGACTGTTTCCGTTCATGAGATACAGGGCTATTTTGAAAATTTATACTTTTTGGATCCCCTCGGTTTTCGCGAAAATTTCAAATTGAAATCTTGAAATGGTACACAAAATCATTAAAATATTGAATTTTAATGGTGGGCTATGGTTTTTTCATACGTTCAAATTGATTTCCAATTTTCCTCTCACAATTTCTCAATGCGTTTTAATGCATTCAAAATTATTAAAGGATGTCTTTGTAATTCCTATAGAAAACTGCCTCTGTTGTTGCACGAAGTTCAGCAAGTATACTGTGCCGCTTACTGTATTGAGACGTATTGAGAAAGTGTGTCAAATGTGTGTTGAGGAAAATTTGGACAATTCCATGAATAAGTTAGGGAATAATTTTGAAATTCTATTGTTTCAGTAAATATTTAATCAGGTGCTTATTCTAAATTATGAACATTTTACTACTATTTATTTGTTGATATTGTTTTTGTCCTCTCCATAGACAAATTTAAAGAAATATTTCTTCAATTGGAACGGTTTTTATACATGAAAATTCCATAGCCCATGCACTATTAAAATTCATCATTTTGAAGGGAAAAATAAGGAAATCAATGAGCTCACAAAATACAAGGTGTTGTATTTCAAAAATCATAAGTTTGAGTTGTATCTGCGAAACCATACCCTGAATAACATTTTTGAGTGCGGCACTGGATTTTGCGCAAATTACTCCATAGAAGAAGATTTTGATTTGTCATTTTCGCTTAGAAACTTCGTAGATATAGAGGGGGTTCAAAAAGTATAAATTTTCAATATCGTCCTGTTGAGTAAACGGAAACAGTTATGAAAAATCTGATAAGGGCATCTTGAGTTTAACAAAAAAGTGGCACAGGGCCGCGAAAGCCGCAAGGTTCTATCTCCAAAGATAACGGAGATATCAAGCAAAAGCATCGAAAACTGGACACACTGTAAAGGAGGAGAAAACAATTTGCGACAGTGAACAAGTTTGGGTTAGTATTTCGAAATGATGAAATGAAAATTTTCACTGAGACATGCCCATTTCGTGTTTTCTTCATTCATGAAATGAAAATTATGGCATCGTTCAAGTTTGATAGAAAATAATAACAAACATTTGTTACAGGGCATGTTATAGGAGATTCTTGACGTGAGCTTCTCGGATCATTATCATGAAAATGGTCTTGTCTCAACGCCAGCGGGAAGAGCTGTAAGTATATTTCAACAATTTTAATCTTTTTCACGTATAAAAAAATAATTGAGCAATATGTCGAGAAAATTGCCTCTAACACAAGTCACAAAAATGAAGAAATTATATTTGCAAATGTTGACGAGCCACCCGGTACCTCCGCATGTCGTCTGCAATCTGACTGAAGGTATTATACCACCTCCGTTTGTATCGTACTCTGACATTTACGGAAATTTCAATCAGTTTCAATCTAACACGGGTGAAAGATGGAATGAATACCAAATCAACCATCTGACATTTGTCATCAATAAGTACCGTTATGTATTCGAAATATCGGTCGCTTAAAAATAATTCGCCACAGGGCAACAAATTAATACAACCAAATATCCAGGACACCACTACAATAATAGCAATAGATTTTTTGATTGGAAGACAAATATAATAGTTTTTCTGCAACCGATACAAAAGTCGTCCATTATTATACCAAAATTAGCTCTTGAATTGACGTTTCTATTACTGACATGATAATGAGGGAACTGCGAATGCAAAAATGCAGGCAATTTTGAATCAAATCAAGACCAACATTGATAGTTTCGGGATATATTTCAACCAAAATTATAGTCAACTTCAGTATTCAAAAACGCGAATCCATGAAATCGATGACAAATTAAAAGGTATTCTAAGTAAAGTTGCTATTTATTTTGTGAACAACATATTTCTCATAATTCTTGAACTATAATCATAATACTTGTATTTGTCGAATTTTCTGATCGATCATGCACTATAAAGTGTCTTAATATTTTATAAGAGCAAATAATTGTTAATTGGTTGAATTGTTCTTCCCATTCATTTACATTTCGCTCAGCAGAACTGGTTACTAAATCCTGAATCTTCTATTGAAAAACTAGTGGATCCTTAAATTAAATGAATTGACTCGTTATATACCCTTTGTTAAGTATATCGAGAAATCCTATCAATAAATTAAGTTACAAACTATGACCCCTTGTGAGATGAGACGCCACTTCTTTATGAAAAGAAAGACTGAAGGGTGCCTTCCATACCAGCTTCTTGCAGTAAGTTTTTAATGAAGGAGTGTTGCTATTTATTTTTGACCACTTCCATTAGAGCGGAAAAAACGAGTTTTGTACGTCAGATGAATGATGAAATGTCAGATGTCTTTATCTCATTATCTGTTAGTAGAATATAATATAATAGTTATTTGTTTTACTAGGCAGTCAATGAGTCAATCTACATTTGCTGCCGTGTGAAACAGAATTTGGGTAATTTTGCACTTATCATGCGATGGTTTTTTTTTCGAAACATTTTTTTGGTACTTACGTATTTTTGTCTGAAAAACACGAATTTGATAATGAAAATGTGAACAAACCACTATTTATCGAGATATTTCAAGAAAAAGTTCGAAATTTTGCCTTCTTTTCCCCTTGTGTTGGATGCATTTACAGGTACTTGCTCTTTTTATTTTTTCATTGGACACTTTATATACTCATGATGTACTTCAATGACACATTTTAAGTTAGAAAATTCAACAGGAAATATGATTTTTATGGCGAGTTTTTCCTATTTAGTGAGCAAGCATACCAGATGACGGCCATTTAATCCATAGGCAATCCAAATACGTCAAATGTCAATAGATTGCTTTGGAATGACATTACACACGCCATTATTTCAAATTATATTCTTCCTTCTTTTCATTTAACATGGATAAATCACGAGAAAATCATGTTTCTAGTTGACTCATATAATAAAAAAAATGTGTACAACATTGTGTGATATATATACCTAAATTGTCCGATGATGAAAAAAGATGGGCAAATTGTTCTAAATGCGATCCAGAAGACAGGCGGAAAAGAAGGTGAAATTTGCAACTTTATAGTGAAATATCTTAATAAATAATGGTTTGTTCTCATTTTCATTACCAAAAAAAAAATTTCGAAAAAAAAAAACCCATCGCATGATGAGTGCAAAATTACCTAGATTTTTTTCTGTAATTTTTTTATTGAAAACTCCATCATTTTGTGTTCACCCAATGTCAGTGTCAATTTTGATTACTAATTTCATTAGAATTTCTTAGAACGTTGCATAGCAACAAACTTTTTCTGCCTAGGCAGTAAAAGTACAACTTTTCTGCCTGGAAGCGGCAGGAAAAAGCCACTATCCCTGCCGCTTGGAGACAAAACCTTTGACAGACATTCCCTCAGATATTTTTTAAAATAGCATAGCTTCAAATTAGAGAAAGACGTGAAACTATTTGCCGCTGAAAAGTAAAACTTGGGATCAACTTCGACCAGCATGACCTTGAGAAAGCTGCAGCTAAATTTGGAGAAACCTGATTGGCTCACTGCAAAAAGCTGTTGTGGAAGGATGGATATGGATGTACCAGATGTACCTACCCTTCACCGCGGCAGTATAGAGGAAAGAAGATCCGAAGTGCATGGAAAAGCATATCGATGTCTTTGTTCAACCAAACCTTCAAAGTCATTTTCTTCTTCTTCTTCTTCTTCTTCTTCTTCTGTCACTGCTTGTCATAGTGTCAGTACATTACATCAAAACTGTCAAATACATACAGGGACTCTAGTATAGATGAACTGAATGCCAAAATAATGCAACTACTGGTTATTTGAAAATCTCTTGATATACTAGTGTTCAGAACACCATCATTTCAAAATTGGAAATGTAACTGAGAAACCGCTGGTTGAAACGAAATAATAAATGAAATTAATTAATGTACCTAATTGAAAATCGTGAAGCCACACCTATACATGAAAATTACTTGTTTGTCAATTTCCCCTTGTTTCGTTCACAAGACACACTTCCGGCATCATAAATTGTGATTTTTAGTGCCGAGGGAATGAAAAGAGGGTTAAAATTAATTTGAAAACATGTCATGATACCTGGAAGTTCGTTCAACTTCACCCCAACGAACTTCTTTATTAAATTGCATTTTACTGTTGCATTTGGTCGGATTCTACGTGTATTCCATTACCCAACCCATCTCAACCCTCCACCCTCGACTTCATCCCTAATCAGGCATAGTAAATTCATAGATCTGTAAATTGTTATTTCACCTCTAAATTTCTTAATTTTTGTGTGCGACCGAACAACTTCCTAAATAAACATATTCTCATGACCCCGGGAATAGCAAACTGAAAACCCCTTGTACATAATACACAACTGATTAATCATATTAAATTAAAATGAATTAGATAATTATTATTACACCTGGCTGTTAGTTGCTTTCAATGAATTACATAGAATGCATTATATTCAGTGTTCTGCGTGGCACTGCATCACTTTTTTCACTTATTGTAGCTTGAATTATATTAATTACATGTTTCATTCTCTGAATTAAAATTTACGAAGCTGAATTAAAATTGACGCATTCTGAATCACATTTTACCAATCTGAATAAGAAGTTACATTTTATGAATCTGAGCTAAGGTGTGGAGTAACTAAGACGCAAAATATTAAAAATGAAGAATCTGGCTACAGGTGTTCATTCTACCCAAGTTTCTCCCCGAAAATCGAAAAAAATCGGAAATCTGTAATTTTCATCGGGAAAAAATATCTTGCCATAACATCGATTGGGTTACTTAATATTGTCCCCTGATTATGTCGCATCAATTTTACACCATTTTCCATATGAAAATCGCGAAAAATTCAACATCTGTCATGTTCATTGTGTTAAAATATCCTGCTATGGATTGAATTCATGTTGTTTCCCGATATTGTCACATCAATTTCACCCCATTGTCACCCCATAAATCGATGATGTGCCTCATGCCTTTTTTAATAAGAAAAATCCATAGCAAGATAATTTTTCCAATGAAAATGACAGATATCCGATAATTTTCGATTTTTGGGGTTAAAATTTGGTAAAATTAACAGGCGACATAATAACTACTGCTTGGAGTACTCATTGATGATTTTATGATTTTATTTTTAATATGCAAATCATTACTCCACTGCCTTGCTTTACCGTATCTTCCCGTCTTGCTGGCATTATCCTGAGGAGTAGTTGTTTTTCTCTTTCTCTCCTGTTATGTACCATATTAGTTCATTTATTTGGACATTTCGTGAAAATAACTTCAAATTTACCACTCTCTGTTTCTTTTTGTTGTACCAAGAAGTTAAGGGTAGATTTCCAATGACCCGTAGATTTTGTGATTCAGGGTAGGGTGTCCAAATTTTGTTGTTTGATGTATATCTCCATAACTCCACATTCTCTTCTTGGGAAACAGCGACGGAATAGGGTTAATTTATCGAACATGTGACCATTTTCTTTTGGCTTAAGGCCGTGCAAGGAACTAGTCTTCATTTTTGTCTCGAAATTGAGTTGAAATTTTAGAGAAACAAAAATTGGAATTTGCTCAATCCAAAACAGATATTTTTCTTAAAAACCTTGGACGTGACAAATTGTTTAAGAAAACTCTTTCCTTTGCGATGATTTTTGTACAAAATTAATGTTGGAGGATTTTTGTAAAATATTAATGTTGGTAGATGCGTTCGAAAATTATTGTAAAAGAAAACTTTCTGAAGTTTTACGCGTACAGGATCATTCACTATGTGTTGACCCCACCCCAGTCACCAGTGTCGTGTAAATTTAGTCAGAATAAATTGGTTTCGTCCACAAATAACTTCGAAAAAATAGTACAATCAGTGCCGTTCCATTATCGTTTTTTTTTTTCGGCAAGCGTTCCACAGGAAATGCTGTCACACTCAATCTCTACGATTGCCGATAGTTGTCTCAAAACAAATTAGCAGTTAGTAACACTATGCCTGGATGATTGTTTGAATTACTGTGTTACTACTTTACTACTTGTTTTCTTTTTCGTATAGCGAGGCTTCACCTCAAAATGAATAAGAGAAAGAAGAACACTTTTTTTGTCAAAATAATTCATTGTTCATCATCATTGTTGTCATCAAAAGGTTTATAACAAACAAGATTTTTATGGGTTTCTGTTTTTTTTTAAATTATTTTTCACATGTGAAAATGTGACGTT